CTGTTCTGCCTGGGAGAAACTGCTGGCCACACGTGTATTCCAGCAAAAATGTAAACAATGTTGAATGTCAGAACAGTTCGGCAAGGGTCATGCGATCTGATGGCAGGTCAGAAGGCGTTTAAAGGGGACTCGTAGGGGTTTGGACTTATCCCCAATGCACAATATCGATAGTTTGGTCGGCCATGTTCAAAGTCACGCTCGCAGCTGATAGCGGGGAAGCGTCAAGGAGGGTTGGTGGTGGGAACAACGAGATATAAAGACAGGTACAGACTTCCTTAGTTGGTGTGTGGTCCCTAAGGGTTCTTAGGGCCTAGTATATATACCGCTGCAGTGACAATCGGAGGTTCCGATTGTCCCTATGATCTTTTAGCCTAGTCAACGTATTCGGTAAGCGAGTGGGCCATGTAAGCCAGTGGGTCACCCCACCAAACCCATTGAATTTAACTATATTTTTCTCGATAAAAGCACCATTTAATTGATTTAAATAAATTGATTTATATAGCTGAACACCTATTGATTTTATGCCCTATATCTCCACAACCACTACACTTTGGTGGGGCCCGCGTACGTGGTTGTAAAGCCAGCGAAGGGCTTCCTCGTGGAGGGGAAGGAGGTGCTTTATCTACTCCTATAGGCTCAGTAATCAATTAAGAAGCTTCTTAAACTAAGAGGCCTTCGTCGGCCTATATCTACTTCCAGGATTTGCCTCGCTTTTACTTCTACTTCTTATTTAAAGCGCGTAATTCGCTTACTTCCTTCTTAAGTAAAGTAGTAGACTATATAGTGATTTAATAGGCTTTTAAAACCTAATGTTACGCACTAACTAACTGGTCACGGTTAGGTTAGACAGTTCAGGGTATAGTTACCTTATTACGCCTCGGGTTTTCCAACGTCAACGATACGTCTGTCGTCACTGAGCTGTTGCCTTATCCGCAGGCCTTACTGCAGCCTAAGTCCCTAGGAGTCGTGTCGAGGAATCGATGCTAGGTAGAGCGCCGAGTAGATCTATACCGGGGTATTGGTCTAACTCGTAGTGTTGTCAAGTTATATCTTTAGTCAAGAGTCTCGTGTTTCTCAAAAGTATACACAAGTAACAATATAGGATTGAAGACGAAGAACTAAACTAAGTATATAAATGAACGTCCTTATATATCCTCCTATCTTCCTGGGAGTAGTTAGGTAGATAGTAGCTTGGTAGATTTGTCTTGGCGGAATCTATCGTTCTACCGTCGACCTATCTACTACCTATATAATCACGTGACACGATTTCTGTTTTGCTGGGGTATCCTTTGTACGTGATCTAGGTTGATTGGCTCTCGATGGCCTATAATACTGGTAGGGTAGTTTAGGTCGCTGGGTGCCTAATAGGTCCGTAATATCACCTCCTCCTTCCTAGGAGTTTCGTCCTCGAAGCTTATAAATCCGTGGTCTCTCTCTTTCTTCGGTAAGTTAGGTTTCCTATCCTTCCTATCCCGTTATACCTAAACGTAAGGCTAATTCTATCTTGGAAAGTACTCCTAAGCTTCCTTGTGATTCTTTAGTTACTTATTATACGTAAGCGGACTATATTAAGGCGAATAGTTTTGTGACTACTATTCCTTGTGGTCACTACCTTAGTTTAGGTATGTCTTATATAATAGATCGTTCTCGTCGTTATTCTAAGTATACTACCTATATATAGGTAGGTAGGTTATATAAATAAGACTTCCACACTTCTCGTAAGTAGGATCTATTGCGTAACGCCGAAAATAAACTTTCTATTAATATTAAAAAGAATAAAAGTGAGCTCGATTTACTAGAGCCCGAGTTATCTATACTATAATCTTATCTTACAGAGTTATACCAAAAATTGCTAAATAAACAAAAATAATATCAAGAGGCTATATCGCGTTAGCGACGGTTAAGAAAACAAATGGCTTTCTTAAAACAAAAGGGTTTTAAAATATCAGAGTATAATACTAAGCTTCTTTAAATTCTCGATGAAAAATATTTGTCCCCTAAGTAGCCTTCCTCTTCTACTCTTAATCTAGAGTAGTTAGCCGCTACTACCGATTATCCTGACTTCGATCGGATATTGTCGGAGATCGTTGGTCTCCCTTCTTCTTTCTAGGATTCCGAGTCTTCCTTATCTCTTGTAGTTCCGGAGTTCGCTTTACCTTCTAGTAGTATTATTGAACAAGCTAATAGTAGCCCCTTAAATTCGCGATAGGTTCCTATATATTTTCTAAGGTAGGGTAACCTTTCTATTGTACTAGTAATTGTTGCTAACTATTATACTATCGGTCTACTAGGATATATTTAACTTTGTACTCTTCTTCGGTTTCTATATCGAGTTCTATATCGGTAGCGATTTTGGTATTGTTTAATATAGGTTTGAGTAATAAGATATAAAATACTGGGTGAAGTCTTTTTATACTATATAGGAGTTTTAATCGATAGTTAACTTATCCTATTTTTTCGTCGATTTTAAAGGGTCCTAATTATAGATAGTCGAGTTTGTCGCTTAGTCGTTTTGTCTTAATATTTTGTTGTAGTAGGTAGACCTTTTCCCCCTTTTTTAGGTCTAGTCCTCCTTTATGCTAATTATCGTAGTACTTCTTTATTTAGAGGTTAACGAAATCGATGTCCCAGGATAGCTATAGATAGAGCTATTTAAGCTTAGTAGCTTTAAGTCTTACTAATTCGGCTATAGCTACCTATCCTCGCGGGGTTCTAATTACCCTTAGGTAGTACCCAAAATTTGCGTAAAATAGTGATTTATTAGTTATTATATATATGGCGTTATTGTATACTAATTGCGCCGTTAGTAATAGTCCTACCTAATTGTCTTGTTAGTAGTTTACGTAGTGTCTTAGGTACTGCTTTAGTGTTTGGTTCACTCTCTCCGTTTATCTATTAGTTTATGGGTAATAGGCTATTAATATTCTTAATTTAATACCTAGTTAATCCGTAAAGGATTACTATATATTAGAGGTAAATAATTTATCTCGGTCCGATATAATTTTGGTTAGTAGTCTATAGTTAGCGACTATATATCGCAAGACGATATTGGCCATTCCGTCAGTGGTAATAGTTTCCGTTGTCGGAATCATATAGGCGTACTTCGTTAGCCTATCGACTATAACCATAATTATATCGTGTCTATCGGAGATTAGTAACTTTGTAATAAAGTCTATTGTAATCTAATCCTATGGTTCTATAGGAGTCTTAGATAGTTATATTTCTCTATATAGTGCGTGTTGTGCTAGCTTATTCCTTTAGCACGTATCGTAATTCTTGATATAGAATCTAACTTTTCGATATATATTTAGAAAATAATAGTTTCGTGAAATATATTCGATGGTCTTTTCTACCCCTATATATCCGTAAGTGGGGTCGTCGTGGTGTTTCTAGATCACTTCTTTCCTTATACTCGAGGGTATATAGATCAGTCCATGTATTAGGATGGTTCCTTCCTGATTTCTAACCAGTTTGCTATCGTCTCCGGCTAATTCTTAGATTTGGTCTTTTTCTACTTCTTACTTAATCCTCTAGATCAGTTTATTATCTTATAGTTCTAGCGTAGCGGCTAGTATTTATCGATTGTATAAGATTGTTCTATCTAAATTTTGTTTTAGGATAGTGGGTTCCGCTACTTTAGTTCCTAACTCGTAATCTAGTTATCTACTAAGAGTGTCTGCTTAGCTATTCTCTATTCCTTTGTAATATTCGATTTTAAAATTATATTGTACTAGGGTTTTAGCCTATCGTGCTTATTATTAGGTAAGTACTTTTGTCGTAGTGAAGAATATGAGGTTCTTATAGTCTAACCTAACCACTACTATATATTTTGCTCCTTCGAGGTATACTCTCTAGACTTAGAAAGCTAACACTATAGCTAAGAGTTCCTTATTATATATATCGTAGTTAAGCTCTACTAGGATCATTTTTCTAGACTAGAATACCACTAGTCGGTATTTCCCATTTATCCCTGGCTAGGTGAGTCTTACTCCTAGGGCGTAGTCTAATACGTCTATTTCTATAACGATAGGTTATTTATAGTTAAATATAGCGATAATAGTTCCTTAAGCGAATAGCTTTTTAAGCTTATTAAAAGATTACTCTACTTATTCATCCTATAAGAAGGACTATTCCTTCTTAGTTAGCCGATATAGCCCTATAGCCGTTTTAGCGTATCTATCGATAATTTTCCTATAATAGTTAGCTAGTCTAAGGAATTATTGTACTTCCTTAATGTTTTTAGGTATTAGCTAATCTATAATACTTTTAACCTTGTCTTTCTCTATTCCTAGTCTATCGGGACTAATACGATATCCGAGGAACGTGGTTTCTTATATATAAAACTCGTATTTCTTAAGTTTAAGGGTGACTTCCGCTTCCCTTAGCTTCTATAGCACCTTCTTATTGTGCTACACATGTTCCTCTATAGTCTTAGAGAACACCAAAATATTGTTAAGATATACAACAACGAAGATATCCAAGTATTCTTTAAGTACCTTAAAGATGAATCGCTAAAACATAGTGGGTGCGTTAGTAAGGCCAAATAGTATCACTCGGTACTCATAGTGTCCGAACTTGGTTCTAAATACTATCTTCTATTCGTGTCCTAGCTTAATCCTAATACAATAGTAAGTATTAGTGATATCGTACTTCGTGAAGTATTTTGCTCCTCCGATCCTACCCTATATCTCGTAAATAAGTGGTAGTAGGTATTAGTCCTTAATAATAATCGAATTTAAATATCGATAGTCCACACAAAGTCGTAACTACCTATCTTTCTTAGGTACAAAAATAATTAGGTATCCGGCCGGTGATTTCGAGGCTCGGATATAACCTTTCTTTAGGTTATCGTCGATATATTCCTTAAGTGTGTCGGATTCTTTCTGCGATAATTGATAGATAGGCTTAAAGGTTAGTTCGGAGCCTTCCACAATATTAATCTCGTGGTCGAATAGACTATACTTAGGTAGTTTACCCTCCTCTAGTAGGGTAAATATATCTTAGTAATCCTTATACTCTTCTAGAATCCGGGGTTCACTATCGGTTATGTATAGCTTCTCGCTCTTAACGAGCATATATTCCAACAATTCTTGGTCAGACATATCTAGTGCTTGTTTAATGGCTATAGGGGTTTCGTCCTATCTTATTATAGGTCGTTTCCTGATTCATGATCGATTATAGGGTCCCTATTCGATACACCTATATCTATTAAATTCAATGGTTTCCTTCTACTAGTCAATACTAGGGTTATACCTTCAAAGCTATAGTATACCGAGAACGATATCGTAGTTCCTAATAGCTAGAATATTAAATTTAATATTCTCTAGGTACTAGTTAATATTTATATAGAGTGTCACGGTTTCTTCGGTTACTCCTCCCGAGAGTATTTCTCTATCTAGTCCACTAACTAGGATTATATAAGGTAATCCTTAGGTTTGAATTCTTTGTTCTTCCTAGAATATTAGGCTTATAAAGTTATTCGTTACTCCTAAATCAATAAGTGTCTAGGCTTTTCTAGTAGGCAACTCTATATAAAGTTTGATATAAGTTCCCGATATTATCGCGGCGAGGTATTCGGTTAGCTAGTTCCGATAATCATATATTTATCGCCTATCGTACTAAATTCCTTAGTATTCCTTTCGCTATTATAGTTTCTTTATCCACGCTAGTGGCCTTAGTTCGATACCTAGATCTAACTTACCGGACCTATGAATTGTGTATAGTTCATCGTAGTATATCACGCTAGCTATCCTACCATACTCTAGGTATTGTGTATATCCTTTACACGTGTAAGCGGAATCGTTATAAGGGTATCCTATTAGATTATTTCTATTCATGATATTAAGTATCCTTCCTTCTAACGTATCGACCTAACTCCATTCTTAGAGACAGTCCTAAAGCTCTATCTTAGCTCCCTTATGGTTCTATCTATGGTCGTACTTAGGTATTCCTTCTTCTAAGTCTTCGAGTCCCTTAATTAGGATCGCTTAGTTCGTTCTTAGCGGTGTATTAGGCTCTACGCTCTGATTGGCCCCTTAGGAGGTCTCTAGGTTCTCCTAGTTTCCTAGGGACGTGACTAGTGTCCCTAGGTAACCTACTTCTTACTCCCAGAAGTCGTTACCTATTTCCTAGGAGTCGCTAGCTCCTAGGTTCACGTACTAGGTCTATCCTTAACTTTCTATTGTATCCCACTCGATTTCTAGGAATTCCGCTCGTGGCCCTTTGGTTAACCCTTCAATATATAGGTTACCGGCTAATATCTCTTCTAGGCTTAGGTTATTCTATCTTACTAAGAGATCTTCTAATAACTCGCTGATTGGGTATTCGTTTTCTTATATCGCATATAGTTCTTCGCGTGGTATCTATTCTTACGTCGTACGTAGTTCTTTACGTAGAGCCTAGTACCTAGGCCGCGGTCCGTTAGGCCTCTTATTCTTATATTCTCGAATATAGTGTCCTAGTTTCCTATATACAAAACAAAGGTTTTTCTATCAACGCTCTTTCTACTTATCTTAAGTGGTATCTAACTCTATCGGCTTCGGGCTATATAGATCGTTATCACGCGGTACTTTCTTGTAGCGCCTATGCTATCGGAATCGATTAAATCTATATAATTTACCCTTCTTCCACTACTCTATTTCTCGTCGCTTATATTATCTCTTGTTAATATAGTTATCGATCTTAATAGCGATAGCGATAAGTTAATCTAAAGTGTTAGGTCTATCGATTTATACTAGTTTATCCTTAACTTCTAGCTTTAACCCTACTTCGAAGTACAGAATATACACTTAATCAGGTAAGTCTAAGTAGGATATGATCTACTAGAATTCGGATACGTAGACCGATACGCTGCCCTACTACTTAATCTTCTATAGTCTTCTTTCGGCGGTTCGTTAGGCGTCGATATCTCCAAACATTCGTTCTAGGTGTTATCTAAAGCTAGTATAGCTCTTAAAGATAGAAGCGGTGGTAAATAACCATTCTTCCGGTGTCTTCTTATAATAATCTTGTATATATAGCTCGAGCTAGTTCTAGGCTTATCCGCGTAGGTAAGTAGATACAAAAATCACCTTACTAGCTTCGCTAGGTAACTTATCTCGGTTTATATCCAAGTATATATCTATCTATATAAGGAATCCTCGAAGCTTAGATTAGGTTCCTTCAAAGTATTCTACCTTAGGGAGTCGTGGTATACCGGCCGCGCTAGTAGGTATAGAGCCGATCACCTATTACTTAAGTTGTTCGAGGAAGTTGTTAACTTATCCGAACTTACTACTATTATTTACGTCGTGATTGTTAATAGCCTATATAGCTTTTTCTAGGTTACGTTATAGGTTAGCTAGTTGCTTTTCCTACCTCGTAATAGTCTTATCTCTCTCGTTGTCGGAGTCCGGTTCCTCTTTCTCAGGTTACTAGACCGGAGCCCGTATTACTCTCTTTTCGATTTAAGATATATTGTCGTTCGTTTAGACTCGAGACTAAGATCGAGACGGTCTTCAATATATTACGCACTAACTAACTAGTCACGGTTAGGTTAGACGGTTTAGGGTATAGTTACCTTATTACGCCTCGGGTTTTCTAACATCAACGATACGTCTATCGTCACTAAGCTATTACCTTATCCGTAGGCCTTACTATAGCCTAAGTCCCTAGGAGTCGTGTCGAGGAATCGATACTAGGTAGAGCGCCGAGTAGATCTATACCGGGGTATTAGTCTAACTCGTAGTGTTGTCAAGTTATATCTTTAGTCAAGAGTCTCGTGTTTCTCAAAAGTATACACAAGTAACAATATAGGATTGAAGACAAAGAACTAAACTAAGTATATGAATGAACGTCCTTATATATCCTCCTATCTTCCTGGGAGTAGTTAGGTAGATAGTAGCTTGGTAGATTTGTCTTGGCGGAATCTATCGTTCTACCGTCGACCTATCTACTACCTATATAATCACGTGACACGATTTCTGTTTTGCCGGGGTGTCCTTTGCACATGATCTAGGTTGATTGGCTCTCGATGGCCCATGATGCTGGTGGGGTAGTTTGGGTCGCTGGGTGCCTGATAGGTCCGTAACACCTAATTTATCGTATTATTTAGTGGACTTATAGGGCTCCTTAATCTCATACGAAGTGATACTTTAATTAACGAAGCTTACTTTTATAATTATATATAGTTTGAGGGTATCTTTAGGTCCTAATCGCTTTCTCTACTTAGGGGGGTATTAGGGTTTAGAGTTAAATATTAAGCTTTGAAATCATTTAATCAGGTAAAAAAAGCACTAGACTAGTAGCTTTAAAGCTATTCTTAATAGTCTCTGATTTATAGGATCACTAGTGAGGCGGCGTTGTAAAGTTGTACACGGTATATTAAACTGGCGGGCTACTTGTGAAGGATATGCCTGGGCGCACATTCTCCCGCTCGGCCAAAAGACCATTATATCAGAGCTCTCGCTCTGATATGCCCAGGACCAATATATATAGTAGCGCACATAGTTTATCCGTGACACTACTTCACGAATTGAAGAGATTTCTTGGTTCTTAAAAGCCTAGATAGCTAGTAAGATCCTACCCTCTTACTCTGTTAAATTGCGAGAGGATTGAGAGCGAATTGGTGGTATGGTAGGTGGTTGAATTGACTAAGTGCTAATCTATAGACGCGTTTTGGGTGGGGTGCGTAGCTCGCTTGTGTGCGTAGCTCGCTTGTGAAATACGTCAACTAAATGCTCTTATATAATCTATTAGGAGTAGCGGCCTAATTACTACGTGGGATTACACTTATATAGGAGTAAGGTCACGTGACATACACACGAGCCCTTATGATATGGTTTTCACTATTTCGAGGTTTTACGATCAGAAACATAAAGTGAGCTATACTATGAAAGGGTTCTCAGTGGTTAGTAGGTCCCAGACCAGTATCGGCATTCACCTGAAAATGTAGTTAGTTAACGTAATTCACTACCGAGTGGCCACTACCACTAAGTGGCCACCCCTACCCAAAACACATTAATTAATTTAATCCCTTCTTTTTTAACCACCCACTATACCACTAATACACTCTTAAAGCTTAAAAGAATCAATAGAGTAAGAGGGTAGGATCTTATTAGCTATCTAGGCTATTAAAAATAAAGATATCGGCTCTATTACTCTTACTATAAGTACTTTTAATATCCTATATATAACTCTCCGCCGCCGAATTAGTAGAATATAATACTATATAACTTTACACACTAATTACTTAAAATTAACTAAAACTAAAGAGGAGTCTCTTTAAAAATAGATTCTTTCTATAGATTTATATAGATCTATACCCTAGCCTTCTTGTATATAAGAAATAGTGAATCTTCTACTTAAAAAGTATAGAACTACCCTAGTTATTTTAGTTAGCTAAAATTAGGTTATAAAATTTATAAAATAGTACCCTAACCTATCCTCCTAGTTCTTAAGATACTATAATTATAAATATATAAAATATAAGGACCTAAAAATTATTAGAGAATAGTTTAATCTAGTATAAAAATTAATTATTTAATATAGAATTAATCCTAATAATATCTATAACTTTAATAAGACTAGTTTTATAATAGGATTAATAGTAACTATAAGAGTTATTATATAGAGTAAATACTATAGTTAGCGCTTACTTTTATAACCTAGAAATTATAAGTAGGTAATAGCTATTAAGTATATAAATACTTTAGGGTAGATACTTCCTCTATATATAATTTTTAAAGGTAAGGTCTTTATTAAATCTTAGTTTAATAGCCTTCTAAGTAACTAGAGATTTAAAATTAGTCCTAATAGTTAGACTTCTAATAAAATTAGACTTTATTAGCTTAAAAAGCTCTTTATTCTAATAACTTCTTTATATATAAAGGGGAAATATTAGCTCCTAATATTTAATAGTTATAGAAGCTATTTAACCCTAAAGTTTAACTAAATCTATAAAAAAAATTAGATTATACTAATCTATATATCTCTATACTCCTCTTACCTTTTATAGCCTCTTAATATTAGCTATTTTATAGTGTTAAAATATATATATAGCTAGCTAGTTAAATCGAAAATATAGGTTAGGATAAATTATATCGATAAACTTAACTTCCTTAAAGTATACCTATATAAATTAAAGCTTTTAAATTAGAGATTATTAGAAATAGCTTTAGAGTAGCTAGTTTAGTATTATTTATACCTAACTAAGTGATTTTAAAGCTTAATATTTAGCTTTAAACCCTAACCCCCCCTAGCTAGGGTAGTGATTTAAGCTAGAATTTTACCCTAAAAATACCCTTTATAGAGAAAGAATTATATCGATAGGCTTTATTAATTAAAGCTTTACTTTATATAAGGTATTATAGCCCACTAAGTCTATTAGATTATATATTAAACTAGTTTATGAAAGGCTTCTACCTTATAATATAAGGTACTATCTTACTTACTAAAGAAAACTAGGAATTATACGCTAAAAATAAGAAGTAGAAATAAAAGTGTACTTAATCCTAAAGGTAGATACCTACTAAAGAAGGCCTCTTAGTTTAAGAAGCTTCTTAATTAATTACTAGGATAGTGGAAGTAGTGGAAGTACCTATACCCCCGCCGTAAATAAGCGACTCGCCGGCTTTATAGCTACGTATATAGGCCCTACTAAGGTATAGTGGGTGTAGAAAAATAGGGTATATAATTAATAGGTATATAGGTAGATAGATGATTTTACTATATTTAATTTAATAGCGTTTTGGTGGTGTTATATATATTTAAATTTAATATATAGGTTTTAGGGTGGCCACTCGGTGGTAGTGGCCACTCGGTAGTGAATTACGTTAGCGGCTATAGAGCTTACCTTATCTATTCCTAGCTAACTACCTAGCTCCCATCTGTTCAATTGATAAGTGAGCCTGCATCAGGCAACGTCTTCGTGACTGAATATTTTTTTTCTACTATTGTTTTTGAACAATGGTCAATTTTTTCCAGAGGCTCGCCATTACTCGAAGTATATTATCCGCTCCCTGTTTGCGGAAACCGTTAGTCTGTTCCAGGCAGCCTGCCATGTCTGGTTCCACCCGCCATCACTTATCCACCAGTCCACCAGCATTCCGTGAGGAATTCTTTCGAAATACATCACGGCGATGGATGCAGGTGAAGCCTATTATTGCTTTGGTCGTAACCACTGACTTCCAGCTAGAATCAACGAGACCGCCCGCTTGAACGAACGATACGTCAAGTTTCGACCAACAGAGCTCCAACGGATCGCCGGCGAAGCAGTACAACAAGACTATTGCCCTGATATTAATAAGTTTGCAGAGGGAGGCTTCAACAAAGTGTTTCTTCTGCGAGCAAAGAATGGCCGTGAAGTGATCGCGCGAATTCCGACTCCCCTTGCCGGGCCTCCTCATTATACAACCGCTAGTGAGGTGGCTACCATGAACTTCTTGCGATCTGTCCTCAAACTTCCGGTACCGGAGGTCTTGGCTTATTCAACAACATCGAACAATCCCATCGGAGCAGAGTATATACTGATGGAGCGAGTGAAGGGAGAGAGTCTTTCTTCACGGTGGTTATCTCTCACTACCGACGAGACGAAAGATATCATGACACAAATCGTAGATATGGAAAGGAAGATTTTTGACTTCCATTTTCCTGCGTATGGAAGCTTATATCACAAGAAGGACCTCGACGGGGAAACCCAGATACCAATCGTGGAGGATTTCTGTATCGGCCCTGTGTCTGCTCGGCAGTTTTGGCATGGCGAACGAAGCGAAACCGAAATTGACCGCGGACCCTGTACGCTCCTCCCTTTCTGTTCTTGGGTTAGAGATATAATTCCCATGACCGGGACTGATTATTGTCAGGGCTTTCACCCGAGGACTGTGTTACATCCGCGGCTCGCCGAGAGATGGCTATCATTCAGCACCACGCCAAAGCTCAGCCTCGCCAAACTTTCCTTTTACCGACTAATCATGACATACTTCCCTCTGAGCACACCTCGTTACTATCACGATTCCTACAATTAGCGCCTCATATAATCCGACCAGGTTCTTACAGCGTTCCGACCCTGAGACACCCCGATTTGAGCCTGAGTAACATTTTGTTGGCACCTAGATCAACCAAAATCATCAGTATCATCGATTGGCAGGATGCTGTGATATTCCCCCGCTTCATGCAAGCGGGTTATCCCGCATTCTGTGAGCACGATTCCTCCCATCCTCAAAGTATGCATATTCCATCTCTTCCCGATGATTTCGATGAGATGGAAATCGAACAACAGAGACAATGCAGAGCCGTCTTTCGCTTAGAAGAGGCCAATCTTTACTACACAGCCGCGATAGGTGTACACAATGAGGAACACATGGATTTGTTAAGACTTCCTTATCTCGGAATACGGCAGTATCTCCTTCGCCAGACAGGGTATCCCTGGGATGCAGACGTAATTAACTTACGTGCTGCGTTAGTAGGTATCACGACCCCATCGGTATGGAGCAGCATCTCATCGGCCGCTTGTCCAGTTGTGTTCAGCGATGAAGAACGAGAGGCTGCCATGGTGGAATCGCAGGAATGGAATGAGTCTGAACAGCTATTGTCCCGGGTTAGAGAACACCTCGATATAGATCTGGAAGGCGGGACCGAACCAGATAACTTTGAGAGGGCGGTGGAGGGCAATCGAAAGTTTCGTATGGAAATGGTTCGGCAAGCAGAAGTGGACCAGCGCGAGATATGTTGGCGAAATTGGCCGTATAAGGACGATGAGGATGACAGCATGCCTTCCGGGGATATCTAACTATTTGATGCGAATAAAATATGCTTGCTCATTTCTCAAACTTGGGGTTGCATCGAGACGGATTTTCCAATACTGTTACTGCGCAGCCGCCATCGATGGCAATAAATGTCATATTCCTGATTTCTGGGTATGAAGAGCAAAATCTCGCGGCCGAAGGACGACTCGTCAAGGACAGGCAATTTGTACCGATAGCTTCTCGAGCCTTGGGCCGGGAAGATGAAACGGACACGATCACACCTCATCATACTGTGAAGCCTAGACGATGATGAGCACCCTTTTAGATCAGATATGAGCTATGCTGCATCAGGTAAAACCTTGTGTGAGAGTTAACAAAATGAGAAGCAGATATTGTGTTTATTGTAGGACTATGTAGAACTTCATGTGAGTAGTGTCTTAGAAGACATTGGCATGAGTGTTTACTAGTATATAGATCGTCGGATCATCTCTATCGTAGGAAAGACCACGCATGGTTTTGGAGGTTGAGAGTGTTCATGATTCTATCCCTCGGGATTGGTGCCAATTTTCTTTAGGATTGTCGTTACAACCAGTATGTTTTCACCATAAGTTGGCGATCACGACAATACGTAGCTATTGTCTACATAATGAGGAGATGGTTAATTGTTAAATATAATGGTATCCTGAAATGTATAGGTCTAATCAATAGTGTTGAAATCTCTGTATTGTAGTATCCGCTTTCCTAGCAATTTATATGGGCGGCGGATTACTGATTTAAAATTACTAAATAAACTAGATAAATAAAATCTCCGGTATACCGGTCTATATACTCCGATATACCCCCTTAGCGATACTAGTATAGGATTACTAGAACCCCTATATACCTCGGTATACTAATCTCTCTACTTCTTTATACTATTAAATAGCCTATATCTACTATATAAAGTATTTAAATAAATACTTTATACTTATACTAAGTAAGTAATTTCGTAAGTCTATTAGCTACTATACTTACTATAGGTACCTATTTTACCTATATCCTTCTATTTCTAATTTCCTATCTTAACTAGTGGCGATAAATATTAATATACTAAAGCTTTATCTTAAACGCTATATCTTCGCTTATTAATAGGCTAATAGTTCTCTTATTGTTATAATTAATAGTTAATTTATAGGAGGGGTAAAAACTAAGGGTATTTAGTAATCTCCTCTACTATTAAAGCTACTATACTACTTCGGAAAGCCTAAGTAATTTAGCTTTAGTGGTAGAAGTAGTGACTATAGGTTACTCACTAGCCTTCTAGTCCACTAGGCCACTATATACTTAGTAGATATATCTAGCTAAGCCCTTTCTATTAGGATTAGACCTGGTAGTGACCCGCGGGTGACCCTCACGACCCTTCCGACCTAGAGGGTAGTCCACCTAGAGGTTAGACCCTCAGAGGGTCACCTGTGGGTAACCCTAAGGGTTATTAAATAGGATAAATAAGCAAATTTTATAATAAAAATAAATTTTATATAAATAAATTCTATTATATAAGTAGATTTATATACCCTATTTAGGCTTAGCGCTATATATTTATATATCCAAGGGTCGCTATAGGTTATAGAGGGTTATCTATATATAACCCTCATGGAACCAGGGTTAGGGTCAGGGTCGCTTATAAGCGACCCTGACCCTTAGAGGGGCGGGTGGAGGGTCTAAGATCATAGACCACCTAGAGGGTCACTGCTAGGTCTAATTAGGATAATCCCTATATAAAGTATCACTTATAAATTACACTAAGTCTATCCCTAAATCTACACTATATTTAATAGTAAGATACTAGGTAGAATATAGGTAGGATCCTACCTAATTAGCTACTTACCAGTGCTAGGGACCTAGGTTTATTAGGTATTACACTAGGTATATAGTGGCCTTAGTGGTATTAGGCCTTATAATAGTGGTAGTATATCTAGTAGATCCTACCTTTTACTAACAAAGAAAGATCTCTTTTAGGGTAGCTACCCCCTAAAATAGGGTTAATTTATCTACTAGCAGTGGGGTATAGACTAGTGGCCTATCTATTAAATTATACTAAGTCATAATTGCGGAGCGAAGTGAAGTAACCTATATCATAAGGGCTTAGGTATAAGTCATATGACCTTACTCCTATATAAGGTCTAAATCTATAGGATTCTAATACGGTGAAGAATGATCGCTAAGAAAGGGTAGAATAATTCTACTAGGCCTCTGTACTAGAGGCCTTAGGTACTAAAAGTTCTTATCATAGGATATAAACTAGCGAGTCTAAATTTAGCGATGATTATATAATTAATACCTAGTCATAACTAACCACTAATAAGTCACTTCGCTTTATAAGGACTATCTAGTGGCTCAAGGCCACCAGGATCCCTTATATTTATTATATAGCTATCTTAGTATAGCTATAGTTTCTTCTACTCCCTATCCTAGATAATTTAGATATCTAGGAACTAAGCTACTTCTTTATAATTAGTTAATTTCTAGTAGAATTTAAGATCTTACTTAAGCTACTTTACTTTCTCCTATATAGATCTATAGCCAGTAATTGAGATATTATCTATATAGAAAAAGACTAGTAGTCCTTCTCCTATAAAAATATATAGGTCTTTAGTTATTTACTATAACCCTAATTTATAGAGTATACTAGCTACTTCTTATTACTAAAGCCTAGGTAATACCTATAGACTATATAAAGCTTAGTAGAGCTTCTAATATTTACCTAGAATCTAGAAGCCTTTAGGTATATAAATATATATATCCTTATCTAATTTACTATTTAGGAATACTATTATAGTATCTCTCTATCTTAAATTAAGGTTAAAGGTAGTAACTAAAGCGAAGATTATCCTTACTATCCTTACTACTAAGGTAGTAGCCCTCTTTTCTTTATAGGAGATTATCTCTAGATCTCCTTATATATAGATTTAGGCCTTAAAGTTAATAAGATAGCTATCTTATCTTAATTTACCCCCTAAAGTAGGGTAGTCTCCCTATTAATCCCTACTTACTAGGGATTTTACTAAAGATCCTATTACTAGATCTCTTACTAGGTCTCTTACTACTAGCTTAGGGTATCTAGTTACTAAGAGATATCTTGATCCTATAGATCCCTTTCCTCTTACTCCCTAGTCTCCTAACTAGTAAGTATCTAATTTATTACTTTAATAACCTTATTAGTAGTAAGTTCCTATAGTTCCTATATAATTAGTATAAAAATAGGCTAATATCTCTTATACTTAGGGGTATATCTCTATATTTTATTAATAAATATATCCCTAATAGGCTTTACTTTTCAACTATATAGAAACTAGATATTTAGTACTATATATCCTACTAAAAAACTAATCTCTATCTATAGATTTATCTTATTAGTTTTTACCTAACCAGCCCTTACATCTTTTTACAAAAATTACAGACCCTCCTTACGGAGGGTGTAAGAGTATACAATTATCAGGTGTAAGGCCTATCAACCAGGTAAGATACAAGGCTAAATGATTGGGAGGGAGGATCAAAATATATTCTGTCAAGTTGTAAGACTAACTCTTGTAGGAGGGAATAGGATCCTAAGGATCTAGGGGTTCTTATCCTTTAGATATAGGACCCCGCACTTACTTAGACCGAGTACTGAGCTAATTACAAATTAACCCCACTTTGACCCTAGGATATAAATAACATGCTTAGGTAAATAACCGAGTATCAGAATTAAAAGGACCTTTATCCTTTATAATTATCCTCCCTCTCCTATATAGATATCCCTATCTACGCCTAAAATAGACTATTAAAGTAGTATACTTTCTTTATCTAGTAGACCCCGATTCTAATAGGATTTTTGAGGTGTCACGGATAAACTATGTGCGCTACTATATATATTGGTCCTGGGCATATCAGAGCGAGAGCTCTGATATAATGGTCTTTTGGCCAAGCGGGAGAATGTGCGCCCAGGCATATCCTTCACAATATATCAGAGCTCTCACAGTCGGAGTCCTAGGTTCGAAACCCACTGTGGTGGAGTTTTGAATTTACCGGCTGACAAAGCGTGTTGATTAATCAGCTATAATTAGTCATCATTACCCTTAGGGGCGACAATATAATAAGCTGTTTATGTTCCTTTCTTATTTAAGACGTCATTCCCAATGTCTATACTTCCTTACTATATGCTTACGAGCTTAGAGTGGAGCGTAAAAAACGCACACCAATTAGTATTGCCTTTACTATTCGCTGATTAGCTTTGAGCGCACTATCGCTAAAGAAATAGAAGGATTTAAAGATAGCCGATTGTGGCACTACACGCTCTGAAATAGGTATAGGGATATGCCTCCTAGAAGGGAGGTGATAGTTATCACAGATAAACTATGTGCGCTACTATATATATTGGTCCTAGGCATATCAGAGCAAGAGCTCTGATATAATGGTCTTTTGGCCGAGTGGGAGAATATACGCCCAGGCATATCCTTCACAATTTTTGAGGCTAGCTCCTTTATAAATAAAGGCTCTCTGTTTTTATCTTTATTAAGAATTTATACTTAAGGGGGGGTTATAATTATAATTCTATACTACAACTAGACCTGGTAGTGACCTATAGGTGACCCTCACGACCCTCGAACTGCCCCACCACTAGGGCGGTTCGAGGGTCTAACCTTCTAACCCTAAGGGTTATCTACCTAGAGATTAGACCCTCGGAGGGTTACCTATAGGTAACCCTAAGGGTTATTAAATAAGATAAATAGGTAAATCTTATAATATATATAATTTATATAGATTTACCCTATATTTTTAAGTGTCCTAATTATATATCTAAAGTTCTTTAATATTAATTTTTAGTGATATATTATTATAAAAACTTATATTATATTCTTAAATCTAGTTCCTATCTACTAGACTACTATATATCTATTAAGCCTTTTTAAAACCTTCTAAACTCTTCTAGATAATTAAGGGAGAGGAATTTTACCCTCTTTATCTATACTATCCTTAGTACTAGATTATATCTTATTACCTTTACTTAGTGAGCTACTTCTTT